CCTCGCACACACCTGTACTGATTTTAAATTGTCTAGTTAGTATCCCCTATTATGTTTGAATGACCACTTCTTGGCCTATATACAGATTCTGTATAAGCAGAAATAAGTGTTCTAGAATCCCCACCCCTCCCCCCTTTTGAAAAGCTATCCATAATCTTGTGTGATCTACACAGTCTGATAGCTTGGCATAAACAATAAAAGGCAGGTAAACATTCTGCTATTCCCAACTTTCAGTCAAGATTCACCTGATATCAGCAGTAATATCCCTGCTTCCGTGTCCTCTTTTGAATCTGGCTAGAATTTCTAGTAGTTCCGTGTCTATGAACTGTTACAAGTGCTTTAAGTTATATTGATCACAATTTTCTCTTGTCCATGGCATTAATGATATTGTTGGATAACTTCTGTATTGTGTTGGATCACCTTTCTCTGTAAGTTGGCCAGGTAGCTGTCTTCCAATTTTTTTTTTTTTTGGCATAAACAAGGCATATACTTCCAACTATTTGTTAAAACATTTCAGCTGATATTCCATCAAGTTCTGCAGACTTGCTTTTCACCAATGGCTGCAAAGCAACCATTTCTTATTGTCCTTGTAACTCTGTGTGTTCCTTTTATCTTCTAGTTTACCCTATCTTCTTTTGATACTTTTTGTGCTGCCCAATATTTTGTCCATAGAATCTTTCAATATTGCAATTTAAGACTTGGGTTTTTTTCTTCAGTTTGACAATTGCTGAGTATGTTCTTCTTGTTTGATTTTTTAACTCCAGGTCTTTTCATGTTTCATTGTAGTGCTTTGTCTTCAAAAGTCACCCTTTGAACTCTTCTGTTCAAGTCTTTTACTTCATTATTTATTTCTACCTTCCGCGTTAGGCTTAGCGGTGTAGTGTTTATGCATTGGGCTGCTAACTGCAAGATCAGCAGTTCAAAATTACATGCCACTCCGTGGGAGAAAGATGGGGCTAGCTACTCCCATAAAGAGTTACACTCGCAGAAACTCACAAGGGCAGTTCCACCCTGCCCTTTGGGGCAGTTCTCCTATCAGGTTGCTATGAATTGGCATTGATTTGATGGCATCCATTTGAAACCCAGCTCTTTGGAGTTTTTTTGAGGTTCAAGAGCAAGTTTCGGAGTCTTGTCTGACATCCTTAAGCTGACACTTAGAGAAACCAATGCAGCAGCAACAACAAATCCCCAGAGCTTTCAATGACCATTTCAGTGTAAAAGGAACAGGGAGGATTCTCCCATTAAAGCATATATAATTCTGTCTCCAAATCAGAATGACTGCACAGTGGGAGGGTATCTATTTATCTCCTCTTTCCCTCAGGTCCAGATCCAAGTAAATAACTTCAGAGAGAATGAGAAAGTCCCATGTTCCCAAGAGAATTCTGACAGCTTTTCCAAAGATGGTTTTCCCAGCATGCCTTTTTTGCAATTGCACACTCATTTCTATTTTATCACCAATGGCCAATGACAATTTCCAATAGAGTGCTTATGATGTTCCGAGTACTTTATGTCTTTGTATGTAGCACATGTACTTTGTATCATTCAGTGGTTCTCAACTGGGGATAGTTCTGTTCCTCAGGGGACATTGGCATTACCTGGAGACACGTTGGGTTGTCACAACTGGGGGTGGGGGGATGAAAGAGGGAGCTGGGGATTCCTCAAAACATCCTATTGCATAAAACAGCCTTGCAAATGAAAGAAAATTTAGCATCATCGTTCAACAGTGCCCAAGTAGAGACCCTTGACATAATCCTAAGAGGCAGGTATTATTAACCTCACTTTCAGAACAGGACACTGAGATACAGAAAGGTTAAGATCACATAGCTAAAGAAGTGGCGGGCAGGTGACAGAATTGTAAACCTAGGTTATCATTTCCTCAAAGCCCAAGCTCTTTCCACCACACTCTGGAGCTACCCCTAGTAAACTTTTCTGGCCCTCGGCAGGCTCTGAGTATAAAGGGTGAACATACCGTTTGCTTCTGTATCCCTGGGAGAAAGACGGGGCTCTTTATTCCCATAAAGAGTTACAGCCTCAACAGATACATTGGATGGTATAAGATACAGCAAATAATAATAATATCTAATAAGGGTTCCTGAGGGGTAGGATGCAAGAGGGAGGGGATAAAAGGAAGTTGTATCAAAGAATTTAGTGTGATTATAACTCTCTAAATTGAAACTGAAGAAATCATTATTTTTTACCCCATGACTACAGTAGGCTGCTTATATGCCAGCTGACCTAATTCCATAACAATCTAATCGATTACCTTTGTTCAGCACGTAGCCTATAATCACACTGAACTCCGGTGAGGTGAGAAGAGTCTCTGTGTCCGGCTATGCTTTCCATTCTTACCACAGTCCACTACTCTCTTCTTACTTCTGACATCTCAAAGCCACGTTTAATACGTCAGCCATGGCCTTCAGCATATTTTGAACACTCCCCACGTGTATAAGTGTGCATCTCACATTTGGCACGTATGCCAATGCAAATCTTGAATAGCATTTGGATGCATCTGTTTGGTTGCCTAGAAGTGGTAAAGTTCTGAAAAATGCAATCCTGTTTCGGGCAACAGAAACTTTGGCTGTAGTGTTCTGTGAGAAGAATCCTCTTATCAGTTATTAAAAACATATAACTTCAGTAACGACCTAGTTCTCCACTTTCTGGTTTCCTGTTTCATTCTTGATTAGGCCTCATAGTCACAGTTTCATGAAACAAGGTCTCTAGGTGGTGGAAACAGTTTCCACTGGGCACTACAGGAGAAAGGCCTGGGGATCTCCCATAACAAGTAGAGAGAAGAAAAGCCTACGGAGAAGTTCTGTTCTGTAACAGAGGAGTTTAACACTGAGTGGAAACTACCCTAAGATGGCAGGGCTTGTTTGCTTTGGTTTAATATGAGGAGAATGACTGAAGTCATGTGTAGTGACAGTATATAAATACTTACAAGATCATTTGATGGGAAGCAAGAGCATGCACTGGTAGGAGTTCAATGATTTGGAATTAGACCTATGTTTGAATCCTTGCTGAACTGTTATAGCCATTGACTTCGACTCTCTTATCTGTTTCCTTCACTCCAGAATCAGGACAATGACATCTAGAGACATGGTTGTTGTAAGATTTGCATGCAGTAATGGCTGGCAAATAATAACCCCAGAGGGGGCATTATTTTGTTTATTCTTTCCAGAGGAAAGATATTGGTTGGCAAATATTGAGGGGCTGCTGGAACCAAATGACTTAGCTTTAATGATCTTCTTACAACTCAATTCTTAGTCCCCATATTGCCATTTGCCCTTTGATATCAAAGAGGAACTGACAACCAATTCGTTTCAAAATGTGTGTATTACATTTGACAGGTCCTATTAACAGTTATAAAGCAAACAACAGGATGGGGGTGGGGACTTGGACGGAGTGAGTTCAAGTGACAGACCTGGGAAAAGTCAACAGTAAAGATAGAACCCCAGTTTTCTAGTCACTGTACTAAAGAGAAGAAATTACACCGTCTGAGATTGCAGGCTAGGGACCGTGAAATGCTGCCATTCTTTCTTGGAATTGATCTTGCTGGTTTACCTCTTTGCTTGTTTCTTTTCTTATTTCCCCCTCAACGTCAAAATTTAATAATCAAATGTAAATGTTGTAAAAACTACTTTAAGATAGAAGTGGTATTGAACTGCAAAGCAGAACTGTAAAAGCCCGTGGAACGCATTCATGAATTGAAATATATAGTCCCGCCTGTCATTTCGAAATGCACATTTTACTTGTACTTCATTTGAGTGACCATAAGTCAATAAGAAGTTAATTCGCAAGTAAACACTCTCTTCTGAGATGGGAAGGCTATAAGGTAATCAGGCTGAAATGTTTTTAACTTTCTTTTTTTTATCCTTTCCAATTCAAACTCAGTGCGCAAATGTTCCAACACAGTAAGGTCCATGAATTAAAAGCTTGGCTCTCTGAAAACGGCCAGGCGTGCACTCAATCCACACCCCACCCCCGAGTCCAAAGCGGCCATGCCCAGAAAGCAAGCCCAGCGCCCGCAGTTTGTTGAAGACGGTGGTTCTGGGCGTCGGATCCAAGTGACCCTGGAGCCTCCACTCCAGGGTGGTTTGCAATCTGCGTCCAGATGTCCAGCGGACTGAGGCTAGAGATCCAGCGGAGGGCGGGTTTATTCTCACCCTGTTTACTTGTTGGCGTCCCGAGAACGCACCTACGATCCTCGGGCGCCTTGGACGCCTGGGGTGTGTGACCCGAGGGCACACACACCCCTGCGTTAAAAAACGCCAGCCCGAGCGCGGCACCGCG